AAATTTGCTTCCAGGCAGGAACAACAAGTTAACACCAGGGTGACATAACAGCTAAATAACAAACTCTCAAACACTTAAACAGGCACGTATCCACCTCAACAGTCATCGAATTAGGCTGATTCATAATTGCTGAACAAAATGCGCGGCGTATTACCAGCAGTCAGACAGAAATGTGCTGCAACACATTTGCAAGTGCATATTTATGGCCAATTTGCTAGTGAGCGCATTACAGTTAAATGACTCATGTCTGCCTTTGTTATTGTTCAAGACCTTTATGCAGCACTGCATCCACACACCCACTAGAAGAACACAGACCTTTGCATGCAGCGAGGTCACTCCTTGTATCTCCCGGCGTGTCCGTCGCCGCTTGTTCACTCGGTGTTGCAATGCATGAATAGAGAGGAAATGCGAGGTAGAAAGAGAGTCGACGGTAACAGCGGCCCCTGTGGCGTACGACGTAGTGTATACGCCTCTGCCTTGTCTCGTAAGCATCACTCCGCCATTGGCCCTGGGGCAGAGTGCTCGCTGACACCTGTGTGCCGCCCGCGCCTCTCAGTGGCGTTCCATTCACACTCTCTCATGTTGACACCGGGACTCTCTGCTGCTGCCTGTAGACATGTCAGCATCTTCCACTTCTCTTTATCTATCTCTCTCTCTCTCGCACTCTGTGTCACTCTGGATGGGATTTTTCCTCATCTGAATATGAAAGGAGTGAAAAGTGGCTTTGGTCCTGCTCAGTAGTACATGGTATTGCATTATGCATAATTGACTCTTTGAATTTGCCTACTGCTTGACTGTTGAATACACAACTTATTTACCTTCTCTGGTATCTTCAAGTCTCAGTATATCAGCCAGCTCATAGCTCCCGCAACTTAATTATAAAATATTGTTAGTCTTTGTACTCAAATGGCTGTTTAGATCCTAATTCCACTATTTTACATGCATGCAGTACATATTTCTATCTGCCCTTCTATCTGTCTATCAATCAGTATCTAACCTTTCTGGCATGCTTTCTGTCTACATGTGGATACACCTTTATCCTAATCTGCACACTTCATACACCTCCACACCCCCCCTTGGCATTTCTCAACAGCTTACAACCCTCAGACAGAGCCACTTTGTAGGGAAGTGATAACATGTCAGCTCTGCCTCTTCCTAGCAATCACACCATGCAGCCCAGTGCTAGCTCCACACATACTTTCATATCCAACTCACACTCAAAGAACAACCTCAGGAAAATGTATGAATGGGTCAAAACAGGTTATCCAGCCCTGTTGCAGACCAGAGTTTCACCAAAGCTGCAACCACCAAAGCTGAACACTTTGAACTATTTTGCAAAATGCCCAGAATCTCTGCAGAAAGTCATTGGGTGTCATGCAAGAACTACTTGTACAAACAGATTCATTCCTTAGGGGTATATGTGATTTAAGAAAAATTTCTCATATCCATAATCTGACCAAAATGTACGAGTGGTCCAGACCTGTAATTCGAGTCACACACCTTACAGTCTACAGTCTACCTTTCTCCACAGGGGAAAAACACTTGTTTTACTGAAGTATTATAACAACCTAATTGGAATGATAATAATGGAATATTGCAAATTGAATCTCCTATTCACCATATGCAGGTGAAGTGTGTCAAACATTTATTTATGTTTGTTTTTCTTTGTGGATTTTTTGAGTTTATTTATATAATTTGGCATTGCAGCTGCAAGTTGTAAGTTCATAACCTGCTAGAAAAATGATCTCACTCCAGTAGCTATCTCAGAATCCTTCTGTCATCTATTTCCTTGATTCTCACACCCCCTTGACTGCCTCCCATCATGGACCACTTTGCTATAGAAAGCCATTTGTTAGCATCAAACTTCATGTCAGTCTATAAACTACACGTGTTATGTTATGTCTCTGATTTCCAGCAGAAGGACTTGAAGTTCTGACATTTTTGTTATTTAAATTTGCCCACAAATGGAGCAGAATAAGTCAAGGTTTAGGATAACATTCTGAAAATGTTCTTGCACAAGGCCCACTGCTATTGCTAGATACATTTTGGTTTTCAGTGGCTGAGGTCACAGTTCATGTGTAGTCTAGTGCAGATTTTGAAAGGGACTGTTAATAACAACACAGCAATTCTCAAAAATAAGTATTTTGGGGAAATGTTTGCCTTGATTGGAGGGTCTCTTAGCCTAAAACAAATCAGCTGGGGTGGTTGGTGCTTGCTTCTGCCTCAGCTTCACTGGCTTTTGCATAAAATAGTGGACACATTTTAGGTACAGAAGGCAATTGTAACAATAGCCTTGACAAAGATAATAATTTGCTTAACCCTTTCATATGTTGGCCGAATAGAGAAAAGAAATAGAATATAGAATTATACCAGGTTGTCCACCCTGATAGATAACCCTGTGGAATATGTACTCAATAACCTGTATCATAAACAGGGTTTGTGTGTAAAATATATATTAGTCTCAGTCTCAGCAGCAATAGAGTTGTTAGTGTGTGTCATCTAATCAATGACATCCCCACTTCTGGGCAGTTAATTATTAGAACAGACATTAGATTACTGAAACGTGTATTAAAAGTGAAGGCCCATACATTTAATGACAACCATTGTGTCACCCTTGGTTCCAGTGAATGGCACATTTATGTGACTGCTTTAGAGTCTCATGTTGGCCTGTACTGCACCTCCCTCTGCTGACACTGATTTGTGTTTTTGTCAGGCTTTTCCTGAGCCAAACAGGTAATCTGCTTATATGAAGGCCAAATTAATGAATTGGTTCTCATCACTGTGGAGCATGGTGTGGCTTCATGCTCCTGGATGTCACAGAGACAGCAATTATTCAGTGACAGCTCAACAGTACACCTAGAGGAGAGTCATTTAGTATTATCAATAACAGCACTGTATTTTTCATGAAAGGTTTTGTGAGCTCATGCAGTTCAGTCATTTCATCGCAGCATACACTCAACAATATTATTTTTCATGATGGCAAGCTATATTATCCTCTAACCAGGAGAATGGGTCCTATTTTCCAGAATTATTCTCAACCCGAGATGTCCTTGGGGATTGTTTGTCTCCAGAGATTGTAACTGTAGCCTCCAGGATGGATAGACAGATCTTTTTTACTGAATGTCCTTCAAGAACGTACTGTTTTTGCACCTTTGTTTGCCTCTAAAACTTTAAGCGAGGTGAACACATACTCTGTGATGACTTTTATACTTTCCAACTGTCTAAAAAGTAACTGAGTGTGTTGTTTTACTCCAGTGAGCAGTGACGACAGTGTCATTTATTGTCTTAACACCTATGTATCCTCTCAGCAAATAGACTTCTCTGGATTAAGTTCTTCCCTCTCTTCATCTTCACCCTGGCAAATTGGCTCAATCTTCCTTGTGGAACGTCTCACAACTGCAAATCTGTAAGATATAAAATAACAATCAACCCAGAAGGCTGACAGCCTTTTTGTTCTTTGGATGATTTC